AGAGAGAGAGAGAGAGAGAGAGAGAGAGAGAGAGAGAGAGAGAGAGAGAGAGAGGGGGGGGGGAGCTTCACAAGGTGACGGGGCGCTCAAGCAACGGCGCGCTTCACAACAACGGATGGACTTACTGTGAGGGCACGGGTGCGCAGCCCGCAGTTTGTTTGTTGATGTGGTTGGGGAAGGGTAAGGTAGTGACTATGCTGTGTGTATGTTTTGTCATGTTCGCTATAGAATGTGTGTGTGCACGTGTGCACGTGTGTATGTGCGAGTGAGTGTGAGTGTGTGTGTGTGTGTGTGTGTGTGTGAGAGAGAGAGAGAGAGAGAGAGAGAGAGAGAAAGAGAGATAGAGCCCTGCAGCATGCAGCATGTCAGTCGCGGGGAGCACAAGGGTAAGCCCTGACCTACAAAAGAAAAAAGAACAGGTAATGTTCTATTGGAATACAAGAGCTTTTTATTTTCGACATTTGAATAGAAAGGGTACACGTTGTAGTCGAATACAACTTGCACATTTTCTATTTGAAATGCTCTTCTATTTGCAAAAAGTGGGCACACACCGTTTTGATTTCGAAATGTTCAAAACTCAAGGTCCGCGGTCTCCTCGGCCTCCCACTCCATTTCAATTTTGAAATGTCCAACTCAAGGACCACGGCCTCCTCGGCCTCCTCCGCAGCTACTGGTCCTTCACATGTCCTGCCCCTCGCTAAGCCCTCACCTCAAAATTACCTGCGCTCCCAAACGACCACGGTGAAAGTTGAATTGACGTTGAAGGTCTCAAGGGCATAAAATGCCACCCTGATGGGCTGCGAACACTGCGCTGGGACAGTGTGCTTCACTTTGCACGCCATGACAATGGGCAACACGCGCTCCAACAACAACGGAGTTTCACTTCACTACAACGGGCCGATAGTTTTACAGAGCACAAAACCCTAGCCATAGGTACCGCGCCAATAAACCATACAGGTAGGTACCACAGCCCTCTCCAAAAGCCAAATGACAATGATCTGGGCCGTCGGGCCCGAGGTACCGGGCCAACGGCCTAGATTGGCGCGCGATCTTAAGATCTTAAGACCACGCGCTGATCCGACCCGTCAATCCGGTAGGACCCGACGACCAGGATTTCAGATTTATTACATGTTTCCGACGATCCAGGCCATGGGCCGGTAGGACTGACGATAGCCTGGATCAGAGATTGGTTCCCTTAGTGACTTTAATAGTGTAGGGCTATCAGCCTCCTGATGAGTCGGTGAAACCCCGACCAAACAGTTTGTCACAGCCCCTTGTTTGTTGTCCTCTTCTCCCTATCTGCCTACGGTTTACCGGGCATATCTGTTTGACGATATATACCATGACTTCGCTAGCAGCCTGCTACAGTTTTCTCCGGTCAGGTTGAGCAGCAGTGGTCGGGGCCGTCACTACGCGGCCAGGCAGTGCCTCTAGTGCCAGCGACGTGTCTAGAGTGTATTTTTTGGTTGTGACGGACCTTTCTTTGTTTCGTGGGTGTTTTGCTGGATTGTGATGGGGTGTGAACCGACAGTCTGTAGAGTTTTCCATCTGGTGTGCGTGAGTGATAGTCTGCTTTGATTTTCGTCACAGGTACCTTGAGGGCAGTGGTTGGTGCCCACCTCAAGGTATCAGTTGTCGRGCAGTCGTTGATGCTTAACCACAACCGGGGTTAAGGTGGATTATAACTTACAGTGTAATCAGTTAGGGGGTTCTGCAGACTGTTGAGGGTTCAGCCTCCTGATGAGTCGGTGAAACCCGGACGAAACTGTTTGTCACAGCCCAGGCCCTCGTTTCCCTCTCTGTCTACGGTTTACCAGGCGGCTCTGTTTGACCATATTACATGTATTGTCCCATATCTATGAACTAAAACAGCGCACTTTGCTAAACAAACGATAAAGAAAAAAATACACAAGACAAACATGGAAAAAAAAAGAAGAGAAACGACACCCCTCACCTCCCCCCTCTGCCAGGGCCTGGCCCTTGCCGGCGGGCGCTGCCCCGGGTGCTGCACCAGGCTGCCAGCGCCCACGAGTGCCGGTAGAGAGAGAGAGAGAGAGAGAGAGAGAGAGAGAGAGAGAGAGAGAGAGAGAGAGAGAGAGAGAGAGAGAGAGAGAGAGAGAGAGAGAATTATATATATAAGTACTTGATCTGTCTCTTATACACATCTAGATGTGTATAAGAGACAGGCCCTGCTTTGTGTGTATGTGCCCAGGCGCAACTGTCAAGGCCTGGGCCAACTGTA